AGTGAATAATGAGGCATTAGTCATTGATTTAACAACATCGCCATTGAGTAATTGCAAGGAGGTAATTGATATATCATCACCGCAAGTTGATGATATGCCATCACTCGAAATTGTGTGTGAAGTAACATACGTGAATAAGAGCAAAAGAATAGAAAAAGAAACGAATAGAAAAAAGGTGTGTCGTTCTCTAAAATTCGATTAAAGTTTTTATAATTTATTTTTATTTTCAACTGTACAATGATTAACTGTTTTATCCAAATAAATTGACATTATAGTTTTCATAATGTGTTAGGTATTCTTAATAAAATCTTAATTTACAAAAATCAACATTTGTTTATTTAATAGTACCTATTCATTATTGTTCATAATAGTATTTAACATATGCAGTTAAACATGTATAATAGTTGAAGAAATTTCAATTTTAAAAAATAATTCCATATAATTTAATAATATAATGTTGTAAACAGAATTTGCCCGTATTAATTTTATTTCTTTTAATAATTTTTAAATAACCCTAACTTTACAAAGTAAGCACCTTCAGCATCCAGTTGCTTTAAAATTTTTCTACCAACTATGTGTATTGCTCTAGATAGAAAATGCTCCTAACCTGTTGAGAAAAGAAATCCCGTTGGGAATTGTTGATCTGGGCATTAGTCAGCATTCGTAAGGAGCTTTGAGCTATACATGTAGAGCCATAATTATATGAGACAAGGTATGTATGTTTGGCATACATAAATGATGCGTGGGAAAGGGAACTGTGCTCCAAACATTAAGCCATCTTAATTTTCTCATGGAAAGAAAAATTTGGAGCGACTCCTAAGCTGAATGTGGTACAACTAAACTTAACGTCTTGGGATTATCTGCTTCTCTCGTTTTAAAAGAACAACTCTTCTAAGCGAAAATGCATGAAAAAGTAAAGTGGTGCTTCTAACTATCCAACTGTTCAAGTATAGTCACAGCTTTTTTTAGTATAGTCACAGCTGCTCACGAGCTCGGGTATGCTCACAGCGGTTTAGGCGCTCGGAGAGAAGGGAAGCTGTATCTCATACTTATTTACGGGCTGGGGGGGGGGGTCGAGGAGAAGGGAAGTTGCATCTCATGCTCGCTTACAGAGAGGGGATTGCAGAGAATTTACGGAAACTCAAGCAGCGCTGCGGGTGGAAAGATGTCGCTAGCTCTGATACAGAGAAGTTAGAAATAGTGGTTTCATCTTCTTATTTTCGCAGTTTTACTAATTCAGCATAAGTAGTAAGAGCAACGGTGAAAAAGAGAAGCTAGTCGAATAGAGAAGACATTGAGAAAAAATACTTTTCAACCTTAAAATTCTCAATTTATAGATACTCATCAAACGCATCATCATGGATTTTATCATCAGTATCCATGGCTTTCATAATGCTGATAGATACTTCATACCAAAAGAATTTTCCATGGTTTCGTTACAAGGAAACGTTGTTGGGCACTGGATAATCAAACCACCCTGCAATTTCAATGATTTACCGCTGTACATAAAAAAAACATAATAATTACCAGACACTAGAAGTCCACGGAATCGAATGGTTTGAAGGTGATATAACATTAAATGACTTAAAGTTTCGTCTTACAACTATTACTAAAAACCTTAGAAGAATTTATACATATGGAAGTGATGAAGCCCAATTCATTAGCTCAATCCTGACGCGAGAAGTTCACGATTTGTCGCAAATATGTCGTCCCTTCAAACACCTTAAAGATAAAGTCTCTTCTCCCGTATGCCTTACACATGGGCAAAATCATTTCGAAAAAAGAAAGCTATTTTGTGCTCTACATGAAGCACACTTATTAAAACAATGGTTTATTACTAGTACATCAGTCAAGTCATCAAAGCAAGACAGTGATTCATACTATGCAGCATATAAACGTCTTAAACAGCAAAAACTGCTGCCTACGTGGATGAGTGGGTACGACGTGGTTGGTTAAGTATAGCATATGGTGAAGGGAATAGTAATAAAATTTTTACTGTATATTTTTTTGTATTTTAAGAATTAGATGTTCAACAAATCATTTTGCAAGTCTAGTTTGTACAAGTAATTTTTTTAAAATTTTGAATAAACGCATTGATCAAAATAATCAAAGAAATTTTTAACAATCATTTCCCTACCACTTCACATCCTACATTATTATGCAACGCGCTTGCTTACCTTAAAATGCATATAACCATCATGTATGCAAGCTGCACAAGATTTTACATATTCAAGCAGCGGGCGCAAACTACCGCTGCAGGCGCACATTGCAGTGCGCACAAATCGAGTAGCACTGCAGGTAGTGCGCACGAACTCACGCAGCGCGCGCAAAAAAAACCATGCCTTTCGCCCATTGGCCGCAGGGGCACGCCTCAGAGGGGGACATTCCGCAAAGAGGGGGGCTGTTCTAGAACCGCCATAGCTTATCTACTACTTAGTTTTACCGCTTGCTCGTTGATCAGAAAATTTATCTATCTAATAAACTATAATGATTACCTAAACTACAACCTTCTGCCACTTGCTCATTCATAAAAAAAAAAATATAATCATCGAATAAACTTAAGAATAGCTAATATACTTATTGCTGTGACTAACTCGCCAAAAAATGTATTTATTGTCAAATAAACAAATAAATAGCCGAGCTGCTCATTGTCGCCACTTGCTCACAAAAAAAATAATTTATCCATTCAACAAACAAAACTAAGGTAAGGTATTACTTGCTAACAGTTGCTCATCAAATAAATAATCCATTTATCAAATAATGTAATAAAAATCTAAGCTACTTACTGCTACCACTTGCTCGCCGAGGAATAAAATCATTTACTGAATAATCTAATAAAAAGCTGAGCTACTCGTTGCCGTCACTTGCTCACCAAAAATTAATTTGATTATGAAATAAACTAACAAATGGATAAGTTACTCATTGCCATCACTTTCTAGCCAAAAATAAAGATTATTTATCAAATAAACTCATCAAAAGCTGGGCTTTTTATTGGTGTCACTCACTCCCGAAATAAATAATTTATTTCTTAACTGAACTAATAAATAGCTGAGCTATGAACTGCCATCGCTTGCTCGCCAAAGAAGTTATGAATTTATTAAGTAAACTAATTAACAGCTTATTTACTTATTGCCACTACTTACTCACCACGGAATAAATTTATTAACTCAATAATCTATCAAAAAAGTGAGCTACTCGTTGTCGTCACTTGCTTGTCAAAGAAAAAGTTTATCTATAGGATAGCAGTAAAAAAGCATCATTAACGTTATTGACTGACTCGTGATTCCCTGGTAGAATACGCACTAGGTGAAACCCGATTTTTCCTACCAAATAAATTGCTGAATTTCTCATTACCGACACTTGCTTGCCATAAAAATAATTCATTTGACGAATAAACTATTACCTAGCTAATTAACTTATTGCCACCGCTTTTACTCGCCTAAGAAATAATTTATTTATTGCATGAATTAATGAAAAGCTGAGCTATTTACCACCAACGATTGCTTGCCAAAGAATAAGTTTAACAATAGAAGGAAATCATAAAAAGCTAAGCTATTTATTGCTACCGCTTGCTCGCCAGAGAAATATTGTATTTATTAAATAATGTATTAAAAATCTGAGTTACTCATTGCAGTCGCTTTCTTGCAAAAAAATGCCTTATTTAATAAATAAACTCATAAATAGCTAATCAACTAGTTGCTGTCACTCGCTCACCCAGGAAAAAATGTAGTTTCCAAATAAAATAATGATAAGCTCAGCTTTTTGTTTGCAGCT